ACATAAGGAGAGATGTGTTTTGAAGTCTTTTCTGTCATTAAAAATGACAAATATGAATTAATCTTAAACAATTTTATTTATTAATAATAAGTGATGATTTTTTTTCTGAGGATTTTTGTTTTACATGCTGACATTTCTGACAAAGACTGTTTCTGGTAGCAAATGCATCTGGTTAGGTTAGTTGGTTATTAGTCATTTACATATTCTAGTTACTTTATTCACTTATATTTTATAGTTTTTTTTTTTTAAATTTTGAGTAACAAGTATTCATTTATTCTTATTCAATAAATGTTATTGAACACTGTCCTAGATACTGAGGATACAGCCGTGATTCAAATAGAAGAGACAACATAAATCAATAAATGTATAAGTAGATTATGTATATATATATCATATATATATATATATATATGATATATATATATATATATCTGATGATAAGGACTATGAAGACAAATATAATTGGGTAAGAGGAATTGAAAGTGCAAAGTGAAGGTGCTCTTATAAAAGGTCATCAGGGCAGTCTCTCTGGTAAGAGACATTTGAATAGAGGCCTGCAGGATGCCAGGGAGTGAGGTGGAGGGAACATTTCAGGTGGCAAGTGAAGCAAGGCCTCAGGGAACTCTTTTTCTGAAACTTCTAGAACAGGGAATAATGGGTATAGAAGGCAGTTTATTCCCTCTCTGGTTGATGGATTTGGAGACAGACTCATATAGCACCTGACATAATTTTTGTTACTGAGCAATAAATACCAAGACTGAGGAGAGCAGGAGAAAAGAATTCTTACGTTCTCATGATTCTTGCTGATGCCCCCTCACCCCTCAGAAGGAAGGAAGAAAGGAAGGATGGGAAGAAGGATGGAAAGATGGAAGGAAGAAAAAAAATGTGACACCTTAAAAAGCACTGTTAGAAAATGTAATTGTTTTATTTATGTCCAATTACTGTTTTTTCACTTTAAAAAATTTTATTTTGTTCTTTCTAGATATACATGGCAGTAGAGTATATTTTGATATACACACATGGAGTATAACTTATTCTAATAAGGATCCCATTTTTATGGTTGAAAATGATGTGGCATTTCATGGGTATTCATATATGAGCATAGAAAAGTTATGTCAGATTAATTCTATGGTCTTTTCTATTCCCATTACCCTCCTTTTCCTTCATTTCCTTTGTCTAATCCAATGAACTTCTACTCCTTCCCCTCCATCCCCACCATTGTGTGTCAGCATCTACAGAGAGAACATTTGGCTTTTGTTTTTTGGGTTTGGCTTATTTCACTTACATGATAGTCTCCAGTTCCATCCATTTACCAGCAAATACCATAATTTCATTCTTCTTTTGCCTGAATAATATTCCATTGTGTATGTGTACCACATTTTCTTTATTCATTCATCCATCTGTTGAAGGGCACCTAAGTTGGTTCCATAGCTTAGCTATTATGAATTGAGCTGCTGTAAACATTGACATGTCTGTGTCACTATAATATGCTGATTTTATGTCCTTTGGGTATAAACCGAGGAGTGGGATAGCTGGGTCAAATGGTGGTTCCATTTCAGGTTTTCTGAAATGCTTTCCATAGTGGTTGCATCAATTTGCAGTCCCACCAGCAATGTATGAGTGTACGTTTCCCCCCACATCCTTACCAACATTTATTGTTGCTTGTATTCTTGATAATTGCCATTCTGACTAGAAATGGAATCTCAGTGTAGTTTTAATTTGCATTTCTCTAATCGCTAGACATGTTGAACATATTTTAATATATTTGTTGACCATTTGCATTTCTTCTTCTGTGAAGTACATGCTCAGTTCCTTAGCCTATTTATTGATTTATTTTATTTTTTTGGTGTTAACTTTTTTGAATTTTTGTTTTATATATCCTAGAGATTAGTGCTCTGTTGGAGATGCAGGTGGCAAAGATTTTTCTCCCACTCTGTAGGCTCTCTCATATTCTTGATTGTTTCGTTTGCTGTGAAGAAGTTTTTTAGTTTGATACCATCCCATTCACTGATTCTTGATTTTACTTCTTGTGCTTTAGGAGTCTTGTTGAGAAATTAGGTTCCTAAGCCTACATGATGGAGTGTTAGGCCTACATTTTTTTTTAGCAGACAAAAGGTCTCTGGTCTAATGCATAGGTCCTTCATCTAGTTTGAGTTGAGTTTTGTGTAGGGTGAAAGATAGGGGTTCAAGTTCATTCTACTACATCTGGATTTCCATTTTTCCCAGCACCATTTTGTTGAAGAAGCTATCTTTTCTCCAGTGTGTGTTTGTGTTGCTTTTGTCTGTTATGCTATAACTATATTTATGTGGGTTTGTCTCTGTGTCTTCCATTCTGTTCTGTTGGTCTTTATGCCTGTTTTTTGTGCCAATATCATGCTGTTTTTGTTACTATAGCCCTGTAGTATAATTTAAAGTCTGGTATTGTGATGCCTCCTGCTTTATTTTTCATGCTAAAGATTGCTTTGGCTATTCTGGGCCTCTTATATTTCCAAATGAATTTCATGACTGTCTTTTCTATTTTAATGAAGAACATCACTGGAATTTTAATAGGAGTTACATTAAATCTGTATAATTCTTTTGGTAGTATGGCCATTTTGATGATATTAACTCTGCGGATCCATCTTTCCATCTTTTAAGGTCTTCTTTAGTTTCTTTCTGTAGTGTTCTACAGTTTGGATTATAGACTTCTTTCACCTTTTTCATTAGTTTGAATCCCGAGTATTTTCCTTTTTTTGAGGCTACTGTGAATGGGATAGTTTTTCTAATTTTTTTCAGCTGATTCATCATTGCTGTATAGGAACACAGTTGATTTATTGGTGTTATTTTTATATCCTGCTACTTTGATGAATTCATTTATGAGTTCTAGAAGTTTTCTATTGGAGTTTCTGGGTCTTCTAAATATAGAATCATGTTGTGGGCAAATAGGAATACTTTGAGCTGTTCTTTCCCTATTCATATCCGTTTAATTTACTTCTTTTGCTTAATTGGTCTGGCTAGAATTTAAAGGACAATGTTGAATAGAAGTGGTAAAAGAGGGCATCCTTGTCTTGTTCCTGTTTTTAGAGGGAATGCTTTCAATTTTTCTCCATTTAGAATGGTGTTGGCCTTGGGTTTAGCATTAAGGCTTTTAATGTCCAATTTCTCAATTTGTTATTTATGTTTTCTTTTCATACTTGAGAAAATATAAGAATCTATGGAGACACTGCTTTGCTTGTTTGTATATTGTCATGTGCAGATCAAGAATTGTAAATGTCAACTGGGGCATGGGAGGTAAGTTAGATGAGTGAATCAAGTGGAGAAGTTCAGGAGTAAGGAGTGGTAGAGCTCCTGGCAGGCTGATGTGTTCTTATCTTGTGCAAAGGGGAGAGCTGTTAGTTCAAGATTGTTGCCCTTTAGGAGTGTTGTTAAGGAAGTTGGTTCCTTAACAATATATTAGAGTGTTAACCTACATTTTATCTGGCAGTTGCAGAGTTTCTGATCTAATTCCTAGTGGATCCTAGATCTTGGATCCACTTTGAGTTGAATTTTGTGTGAGGTGAGAGATAGGGATTGTTTTCATTCCTCTACATATGGATATCCAGGATCCCCAGCACCATTTGTTAAAAAAGGCTATCATTTGTCCAATGTTTGTTTTTGGCATCTTTGTTGAGTATCAGATGACTGTATCAAGGTGGCTTTGTCGCTGTGTCTTCTGTTCTATTTCATTGGTCTTCATTTCTATTTTGGTGCCAGTTCCATGCTGATTTTTTTTTCTTTTCATAACTCTGTAGTATATTTGAGGTCCAGTATGGTGATGCCTCTAGCATTATTCTTCTTGCCTAGGATTGCTTTGGCTATTCTGGGTCTCTTATTCTTTCAAATTAATTTTAGAACTGTTTTTTTTCTAATTCTGTGAAGAATGCCGTTGGTATTTTGATGGGGAATGCATTCAATCTGTGTAATACCATTTTGATAATATTAATTCTGCCAATCTAAGAATGTGGGTGGGGGTTCTTTCCAACTTCATGTGTCCTCTTCAATTCATTTCTTCACTGTTCTCTAGTTTTTATTGTAGAGGTCTTTCATCTCCTTGATTAGATTTATTCCCAAGTACTTTTTTTTTAGGTTATTGTGAGTATGATTATGGCATTTGCTGGTAAATGGATGGAACTGGAGAGCATCATGCTTTGTGAAATAAGCCAGACTCAAAAGTCAAGGGTCAAATGTTTTCTCTCATATGTGAAAGCTAGACCAAAATAAGAAAAAAATAAAAAGGGTATGGGAAGGACACACCATAAAGAGAGATCAGTGGAAGAAAGGAAGGGAATTGAGGGAGAGGGAGGAGAGACTGGAAAAGGAGGAATAGTGGAATGAAACTGACCTATGTACATATAAATATGAATATGAATATACCACAGTAAATTTTACCTTTCTGTATGTCTATAATGCTAATTAAAAAACCCCATAAATACATAGAAGAAATACCAGTAGAATAGAGGAAAGGGGACAGGGGAAGGGAGGAGGGGAAGGAAAGAGGAAGTATTGGGGACTGAATTGGAGCAAATTAATTCCATGATTGTATAATTATGTCAAAATGAATCCCAATATTATGTATAACTATAATGCATTAATAAAAAAAGAAAAAAGAAAAGAAAAAAAGTTTTTTTGTCATGTAAAAATTTAAGCCTATCTTTGAATTTATTTTCTAATTTTTCAACAAAAACCAGAGTTTGCATTTTTTGTGTTATCTCTTGACTTTTAATTGTTGGCAACTAAATAAAATTATTTTAAGATGTTTTCAGGCCAAAAAAAACACTTATGCAGGTGGGATCAGCAGTTTTTGACTTTCTGGGGTAGAACACTATAATGAATTCTTGATGTCTCCTTTAAGGGATTGAATAGATCTAAGTAGGAACAAAATGCTGCAAGATTTCTGGAAACAAATAGTTTCAACACACTATTGTGAAATGGTTATAGTGCACCCTGCATGGTGCTGATCATGTCTATTCTTCTTGTCTTAGGTTATGGTCAGACAGGCCCCATGTCTCAAAGAGCTGGTTATGATGCCATTGCCTCTGCTATTTCTGGTCTGATGCACATCACAGGGCCTGAGGTAGGTATCCTTCTTAGAATGTTAATAATTTTATATTCCACACAATTTTTCTCTTCATTAACCTATAGGATTAAATTAGAATTAATTTTAAAAAGAAACCAGTGAAAGCAAATGACTTACTAAAGTAAAATGGAAATGTGTTCATTACAGTTATACTGAAGCCTAAATTTCAGTATGGTCCCATGGAAAGAATACTCTTTTTAGAAAGAAGCAATAAATCAGGTAGTGAACACATTTCCCACATTTATCGTATTATCCAAACTTAATAACCTTTGTGTGATTTAGGAATATTTCCTTTGTAAAGTAGAATGGCTTATTAGACCATAGATGTTCACTTTCGCCAGAGTGTACATAGCAGAGGGTTTTTAATATGTGTACATAGCAGAGGGTTTCTTTTTTCTTTTGGAATATTATAAGTAACTGTGTATTTGAAGATTTGTTACCTAAATCCTCAGGCTTAGTCGAATCTGATTTGTCTTATGTATTAGAGTTTGACAGTGAAAGAATTATTTCATTTTATGACAATCTCTTGCCACCAGTATTTGCTTGGTAAGTTCCTAAGGAGTATATAAAGGGACAAAATGTGGTTGGTTAGATTTTAAAAGATGGAGTCTGGGGGTAAACAATATGAATAGCATTAAAGTGAGAGAAAAAAAAGAATATTGAAGTCTAATAAATAAAATTACTGAAAGGCATGCATTTCAAAACAAACTGAATTTGTAGGCTTACAAATCTTGTTCTAGCAGGTATTCTTTCCCTGAATCACTTTATTCAGTCAATTCTTTAGGAAAGAGTGCTGCAGTGTTGGGATAACCAAGGGGAATGACTTCAACTCTTTTGCAGTCTTTATTTCTTTTTAGTTCAGAACACCTGTGGGATTTTAATGTCTTAAGATATAAGTTCTTTTGTGCTTTCATCCTCTGTTGTTTCATTTTTATAAGTCACAGAAAAAAATGTGTGGCTTTTTCTTAAAATATTCAGAGTACGAGTTTCTTTCTACTTATTTAGAGAATGGAGCATGAACATATTTCTCTTTATTTTATCCCATAGTCTCTTATATGGTCAAGCATGCACAATAATGAGTGCTGATTTTAAGGACACTGAATTCAATTGGGAATATGTGAAAACATCTGGGTCTTTTAAAATTATAAAAGTGCTAAAATGAATGAAAGACTGCTGAAGTGAAGGACTTTCATTATCCTTTCCATGGTTCCTATACTACACCATACTGTTTCTGAAAGGGATAACTATACAGTGTGTCCTCAGCCTTATAATTTACCAGTCAACAACAACTTTCCTTTTCTTTGGTACCATACTTGGGTAATTTTTGTTCTAGCTAAGCAAATAATAACATTTATTGAGCACTTACTATGGTGTCTTTAAACATTGTTTTATATACTTTTAAGTATATTAAATTAAGCAAACTTAATTCCCCTGTACTGTATCTCTTTCACCTAGATACAGTTCTCACTCTTTAGGTCATTCATTGGACCAGTGAAAAGTTACTGCATGTATTCCAAGGACTGAGGAAGGCACTGGGATTAAGCACACTGCAGGATAGGCGCAGTTCTTGTCCTCCTGGAACTATCAAGTGGGAACAAGCATTAGCAGAAGATACCCATTGCATACCAATAAAAGGAGTGCTGAAGAAGAATACAGGGGGCTATTAGCATTTATAATATTATACCTCAGACCATTATCATACTTCTAAGTATCTTCACAAAATGTGGTTGGACAGCAAAAAATAAAAGCAGATTAAAGAAATCAGGTCATACTGGGAGTTCTTAAGAAAGTTGTTTTCTGTTATCTTATCAGCAATATATGTTAGTTCCCTAAACCTCTCAGCAGCAGGATCATATTCAATTTGTTGCCGTTGACCCTCATAAGGTCCTTTTCCTAACAACATATCTAGATTTCTTTGAGGGTAACCGGCTGCTGCATTTCGCCTAGCTGTCTCCGTGCAAAATTCCTCATTGGCAACCTTCCATAACAAATATTGTCCTCCATTTAGTACAGATTTACACATGCTAGCCCAATCTGCTGGCGTCATGTCCAAGTTAGTAATGGACTCTACCATGCTTACCGTGAAGGGAGCTTGGGGGCCATAGGTTGTTACAGCCTCCTTTAACTGCTTCACTGTTTTAAAATCTAAAGCACGGTGAATTCGCTGCCCTCCTGCCTGTTCAAGTACAGGGCATGCTAATCTTTGAGGTCCTGTCTCAGGATCCCATTTATCAACTATGGGGTTTGAGGGCCACTCAGCTGTCTCCATCGGTGGGGCTGTTGGTTGAATTACGCCCTCTTGTGATAAAATGGAGTTAGTAACAGCCTCCTGTTGTGGCCTTTTTCCTAACAACCCCTTTTCCTTTAAATTTTCTTCCTCTGTCTGACTAGCTCGAGAGACCTTCTCTTTTGTTTGATCTAAAATGTCTTTCTCCATGGTCTGAACCTCTAACAATTTACTTAACATCTTTTCGGTTTGTTTTTTTACTAATTTCTAATCTACTATAAAGATAACGCAACCCAATAAGATAGCACAAAACAAAGCCGAAACTGAATGAAACAAAAACGGAATAAAAAATCATTGTATCAAAAAAAAAAAAAAAAAAAAAAAAAAAAATCATTGTATCAATTTTCTCTTCCTCAGGGCCGACAAACTTCAAACCTTTAGTCAACCATTTTTTCCAGTTTGCCTGAGAAATTTCTAGGGATAGGCAGCTTGAAACAAAACAAGATAAATCAAAACAATAACACATTGTTTTTTGAATTGGTCACCCATTCTTTCGCTCTTCCTCAGGGGCGAGCAATTTCACTTACCTCCAAGTTTTAGACGTTCCCCGTATGGGCCACCAAATGCCACTGTCTGGCTGGGCACAAATGCCGCAGTCTGGCTGGGCACACAATCACGAGCCACCACACAGCTTGTAGATTCAAACAGCAACTCTTTATTCCCGAACTCACACCAGCCGTCTACAATCACTTTCTGGGGAAATCCACGTTCTCTGCCCAAATCCACCTCCACTGGGCTTCTATCTCCAAAATATACTGTCTGAATCCCGTGAGAACTCAAGGGGAACTCAGGCAGCAGGATACGCCCTATTCCCAGCAGGAATAATCTTAAACCTTAAACCTGGAACCTAAACTGGGAACGCCCTAAACACGATTATCTTAAAACCAGGAACACCCTAATCTGCCTTGGTCCTTGAGCAAGGTCACCTACATTCAATGTCACTGCAACATGTCAGCAACATGGGGTACGATGGCAAGGAAATTGTCATACCTACTTGGCTAATGGCTCCCAGCAATAGCCTATGTTAAATAATCAACTTTTCCTTAACTTATATACCTAAGATGATACAGCTTAAACACAGTAGGCCATTGATTAGTCAGAATTAATGGTGGAATAAATTCATTTCCTCAGTTTTATTTATACTTTTAAAAGTAATTATTTTATAAACAACACATATATATTTTAAAAGTTAAGAAATACAGAAAATAACAGAAAAGAAAATAACAAATGGTCCTAATCTTACCATTTAGAAGTTCCTACTTAAATTTTGGAGAGCATTAGACCAGACATCTGCTTATGCTTACATGTGGGCAATACTCAGAGGGCATGATGAATAAAAATAATTTTATGAGGATGAGATCATAATACTCTTGCTAATATAAAGCAAATAAGTATTAAATTTAATTGAGTTTAACAGAGAAATAGCTAGTTGAAGTGGAAGTGATTGCTTAAATTTAGCTAAATTATTTCATCTTAACAAAGGAAATTGTTACTAGAAAATAGTTTTGAGGTTGAGACAAGAGATTATGGAAACCCATAGATTAATTAGAGTTGCTTTTAACCTACAGTTTCAATTTTAAACATCATGGATTGAGTTCATGCTATGAAAAATGATTAGCATTCCTACATTTCTTCCCTCTACCTTCCCGCTTATCTCTTCTTGACTGTTGCTGATTAAATATTTGTACTTAGACAAGGTTTAGTTTATAATTATACTTAAATACTTTTGTTTAGTAAGCACTCTCTAATCCTTCTTGAAAGTCTCATGACGTTTAAATTCTGTTCTAAGACAATTATTTCCCCAATTTGTAGTTGCCTGAGGTAAGGAGTAGAACTGGGATGAGGCTGTAGAGAAGTTGTGGTAGGAGGCCAAGCCATGAAGGGCTGAGAACAGTCTCTTCTGGGTTCAGAGTTTAGCTTCCTTTATGAGACCTAATCAATTATCTGTGCTAACTAGGCCTACTCCATCCAGCTAAGGGTGAGCCCACTCCTGTGTGAATGTTACTGGCAAATCCTGCCAGCACCTTTGGTCATGGCTCTATACCTGAGTCTTTCTCCTTTAAAGGTATTTTTGTGACTTTTCCCAGTGTCATCTATTTCCTTTTTTATTGTGCTCTTACCTCCCTTAGAGATTTTTGATGTTTTTTTCCCCTCAGTATCATTTGGGCAAGGAAGGTGCAGAGAGGGTCTGTTTCATATGGGTAGCACCTCAATCTTAATTTCTTTTCTTGAACTTTGACCTTCAAAGTTATTAGTTGTCCTCTGTGTCGTTTGGTTGTTAAATGGACCAATTTGTATGACCTAACAGACAATCACATTATCAACAAAAAACCAAAACAACAGAGATAGAGAAAGATGTTTGTGAGTACAAATGAGTTGGTAGGATTCTGCTTTAATGTGCTGTTTACTATAGAAAACTGGAGGATTTTTCAATTTTGCTTGAATTTTCTTGAATGAAATAATGTTTCAAATAATGAAACATTTGAATTGTTTATTATTTTATTATTTAACTATAATAAAAACTCTAAGGATGAAACTATACTTTGATAAACTATAATTGTGTTATGAAAATGTATTGAGGTAACTTCCAAACAATGTAAGATATTTTGTGAAACATGACAAATTTTGTTGAAAATTTTCAAGTATATTTGCTACAGAATTGATAAATTGTAATTCTCAAAGTAGTACATTTTTAGAATTTATAGCATAT